CTCCCTTCTCCACGTTCAGGGCTTGACTCTACTTTTCTGCCTTTAATCAACGAAAAAAAATTCTGAGGAATTTATTTGCCTTCAAGTGTGCGTGATCAGGGTCTTTGTGAAACCTCTCTTAGAACTATTTGCGTTTTGAAGAGGAAAAATAAATAAGTCAAAAGAACGAATTTTAGGTGTCAGGTTCCCCAGGGGAAGACATTTGTGACGGAGTCAGGACAGTTAGCACGGACTTTGAGGAAAACCAACCTGGATTCAAATTCTAGCTGGTCATGCGACATTAGTAAGTTGTTTGGTTTAGCAGAGCTTCGCTTTCCTCATCGGGGCGGTGACGGTAACGATACCACGTCGGGCGGCTGGGAGGGCTCCCCAGACCAGAACATGAAGCACGTAGCCGTCGAGTTTGCTCCAGAAGACAGCGGCTACTGCCGATGGGCACTGCCACCCCGCAGGGCACTGCCCGCCCCCTCCTTAGTTCGGCTCCGTCTGTTCAGGCTCTGCCCGAGCGTCCGAGGCCCAGCGAATGCTTCCCGCGCCGGCTCGTACATGCTCTAAGTGGCCGTCGCACGGGAGGGACAGTCTCGGGCCGAAGCTATCCCAGCGGTGCCGTCAGCCTGGGCGGACCCACGGGCGGCGCTGACCAGTCCACACACATTTTAAATGTCACGTTGCAAATGTTTTAGTTGCCCATCTTGACAAATGCAAAACGAAACAGCTGAAAATAATTTTAATGCATTTCATTTAAATCCAAATATATCTGAAATATTTCAGCGTGTGATTGACATAAAAATTAGTGAGACGTTTTATCGTTTTGGGGACTAAGACTTGGACGTCCACACGTTCGCGGCCTGTCTTCGGTTTGGCGCAGCCACACGGCGAGCGCTCGACATCTGCGTGGGCCGGGCTCTGCCGCGTCGGGCGTTCTGGCAGAAATGTTTGCCTTGTTCTTTTTCTGGCGTGGTTTTTTCGCTCTAAGGAAGTCACGTGGTTGTTCGCCACTCACACGTGACCTGGAAGCTCTGTGGCGGTCGACAGTGGAGCATCCCTGACGGACAGCCGTGCTCCCCAAAGTGTGTCTGCGGCCGCCCGCGGGGAGGGAGAGCCTTTCGGGGGGCCGGCGAGGCCGGGCCTCTACCGCCTTCTCGCCGCTGCTTCCCGCTTTCCCTAACTCCTTGCCGGGTGCCGTTTCCTTCTTCTTAATACGCCCGAAGTGTTCCCTAAACTAGCACACGCGGCGGAGGAGCCACCTTGTCTTCCACAGCTGGAAACTACAGAGCAAGTTCAGGGGACCCCAGGGCGTGGCCAGAGTTTGCTGGGCCCCGGGTCGGGATGGCCGAGGCCCAGCACCGACCGCCCCCGAGGTCACCTGTCAGTTTCGAGAATGCCGTTTAACTCTTGGTCTCAGGTTTGCACCCCCATGGAACGGGCCACTCCACAGAGCCCCCGACGCCCCTGCATTCCGCGGGTCACGTGCCCCGGCGTGGTCCTTGCCAAGGCCTGACTCACAGGCGGGCAGAAGGGTGGAGCCCGCGTTCGGGCAGTGCTGATCTATCCCGCGACTCCTTCCCTCCTCCCAGACAGTCGTGTCAAACTGGTTCTGGTGGTGTCCACGTGGCCTCTGTCGGCGAGAAGGTGAACTGAAGGGCAGACATCAGTGACTTTCCCGTTCTCGTTGACACAGTCAGCACCGCGTGGCCAGGCAGTTCGGCCCGCCGCCGCCCAACCCGCCTTGCCGACGTCGCGGCATTATGCAAATGATGTTTCTTTTGTGCACTGTCCACTTGTAGCTGTTGGATTATAGACTGGAAATTGCTCTTGGAAAACACCGAGATTTGGGGTTGCACGATTGGGAGTGCAGTGTATACCTCTGCAAATTCAGATGGCGCTGAGGTCAGGAGTCTTGGCTTTGGCTTTCAACTTGGAATTGAGAACAGTTTACTTGTTCACCGTTTGCCTCTGCTGAAATACTAAAAACAATGTGTTTCCCACCTACCTGTCAGTCGGGCTTCTGGAAGCTTAACGTGAGGATATTTAGGACGATGTTTGACTTTCCTTAAGAAGGTGTGGCCCAGTAAGTGTGCGAGAAAAGTTCTGCATCTGTCACGCTGGGACAGGTCCGCTCTGCCAGCAGGTCACAGGAATAAGTGCCTAGTGGCCTGTGCCTTGGGGCCGAGAGTCAGCCGTTTTCCTGAGGGCTTGAAGTGATGTGACACCATGCGCTGACACTGTGAGAGGAGCCTCCTTATAATTACCATCCTGGATAGAATCGAAAGTTTGCCTTCGTCCTCTGCCCCTCACAAAGGAAGCCTCTCAGGTGCGAAGACGCTTGGCCTGGCCAGGGCGAAGACCCCCTGCGGGGAGCGGCCTTCTTCCCAGCGTCCCCGCCGCGCTGGCACTGGCCGACCCGCAGGCCCGCAGACCCGCAGACCCGCAGATGCGAGGCCGCAGCAGCGGGACCGTGCGGGAGCCGCGCCTCCCAGGGGGCCTGGGGCCCTTGCCCTTGGGACGGGCCTGGTGGGATGTGGGCCTGGTGGGATGCGGGCCTGGTGGGAAGCGGGCGGCCTGTGGAATACGCTAAAGCAGCCTCCTCCTGAGGCCGAGAGGGGAAGACAGGAAATCGGGGAAGGAGCGGAAGGCGGAGGAGCGGGGCGTCTGGGAGGGGCTTTGGGGCCGCATTCGGGGGAGAACTTTTGGGGCTTGAGAAGGTGCTGAGAGACACAGGAGCCGGGGCCCGGCGCCCAGACGACAGGCCACTTTGGGGCCGCGGTGGGCGCGGGGGTCTCGCAGACGAGGCCAGGGCCGAGGCCCCGCGCCAGGCCGCTGCCCCGAGTGCGCGTCAGTCCGCGCGGAGAGGGGGTGCGACCAGAACACCCCGCCACCCCCTCCCAGAGCATGCAGGCCGAGCGTCCTTCTCGTCCTTCTCGCTGGCTCCCGGCCAGCCACCTAGGCTAATCTCGGGGCCGTTGGAGAGGACGGCGCCGCCCCGCATGGGGACACGCGCCGCCCCGTGCTTGCCTGCTGCGTGGCTGGGCGGTCCGAGCCGCCGCGCCGGGCGCAGAGCCGTGGTGGTCAGTGCCGTGCAGGCCGTTCAGCGCCGCGCTCCGTGGGCCTGTGCTGTCTGTCCGTGCGGCAGACGTTCCAGCCCGAGTTCGGCCGCGACGTGTGAGCCGGACACAGTCCCGAGTCCCCGCTGGAACCCCCGCGGTCTGCCCCCAGCCCTCGCTGCGAGCACCCCGTCCTCCCGATCGTTAGCCCAGGCAGCCCTGACGACCCCCTCGCCGCGCTGACAGTGGCTTCGTCAAGCTCGGCCTGATTCCCCCGACACTCGCAGGTTTGGGCCCTCAGACTCGCCCGCGGCCTTCCGAGGCGCCCGTCGTGTCTCCACGGAGTCTGAAGGGGCCTCAGGCTGCCTTGTTGTTGCAAGTCTGGGAACACAGACTCATTTTGGTAGCTCGCCCCTCCCACCCCCACACACAGCGCCGTGCCCCCTCCCCCACAGGGCCTGCCGGAGCCCGGGCAGGAAGGGGCTGTCATCAAGCTCAGGCGCAAGCCCGATCACTTTATTTTCCTTCTTAGAAAGTTCTACCAGGAAAGACGGGCTTGGCGTGTGATTATTTTTCTTAAATGGAGTCTTGTGCTTTCCTATTACCGCTCAGCACAGCCCACAGGGCCAAGGCCCGGACGACCAGAGAGCCTCCAGAAACTTCCTGCGGAGTGAGTGTGGGAGAGCTGGGAGTCACAAAGGTTGAATTCCCTCATTACTTCGAAAATCTGTGAATTAATTCTCTCTGTGAGTTTCCACCAGCCCAGCCTGTGATCCACCAGCTGAAGAATCGAGCCCTTTATTAATCTCCCAGGATGAGCTTCTCATCCCAGCGACTCTGGGGGGAGGGGAGGGGAGGGCTTGCACGTAGGCTGAGTGTCCGCGCGTTCCTGTGTTACTTCTGACTGTTACAGATGTAACGCATGTGTAGGAGTAGCGAGTAGCGACCGCGAGGCCAGCAGTGCGGATAATAGAGAAGAATAATAATGCCTGGCCTCTGCTCTGGCTTCGGCCCTTCCCCCGCCCCCGCTCATCTACTGCACCGCCTCCCCCCTTTCTAGGGTGTCGGGTGGGCTGTCACGGTAATGACCACTGTGGGTTCACGTCCGAGACGCTGACACTGAGGACGGAGGCAGCTCCCAGGCGGCTGGAACTGGGCCCGAGTCTGCGGAGGTGGGCGTCTTGTCAAGATCCCACCGGACTGTAACTCATCACCTCTCGTGTCACCTCCTGAATGTCGCCCTCTATTATAGAAGCTTGACTGTTTTTAAGTAAGTTTGACCAAATGTTTTCGAACGCGGTCTGTTCCGGGGCCAACTCTTACGTCCCGCAGGTTGGATAAATGAAGAAGTCACAGCGAAGCCCTGTGCCGGTCGGGTTGTTTTTCACCTTCCGGCGGGCACGGCGAAGTCGCAGAGCTCGTGTTCTGTTTCAGTCCGTTCACCGTGTTAGCAAGTATCTGTGGACCTTCTCTGCTGAGGCCTGATGAAGGAGACGAGGGACCCCGGGGCGTAAGGCCTGGCTTACCTGCAAGGAGCTTACAGCCCACCAGCCGTGCCCATGGCCCTTGTCACATGACCGCCCGCCTGCTCCCTGAGCCCGTGTGCGTGACAGTGCTGCGTTCCTTAGGGCCAGGACTGTGGCTGGAAGGTCAGGCTGACCGTAGTCCGTTAGCACTCGGGGGCGCGCGCCGAGGCCCGCCCCTCTGAGTCATGGGGCGCTTGTTTTCGCTCGGGGAGCCTGAAGCCTGCTCCGCGTCTGAGTCCTGGCGCGTTCGGCCTCCTCATCTTTCCCTGGACCCTGAGACCCAGGGCTTCACTCCCTTCCCGCCTGCCCCCTCTCGTTCCCTCTTTTGTCCCCTTCCTCCCCTGGACGGGGGCCTGCCCACACCCCAAATTGCTATTTGCCCAGCTCGTGACCTGAGACCACTTGGCATTTCCCTGGCATGGCTGGAATTTACCACCCGCCGAGCAGGCCTTCGGTGACATTTGCTCACCGGGGCGGCTTAAGCTGTGTGGTCTGCGCCGAGGGGCCTGAGGGAGGCTGGGGGAAGTGTGGAATTTACCTCTCCGCTCTGGGGTTCTTGCCGCGGGGAGACAGACAGAGATGCTTTCTAGAAACCGGAATTAATTTTTATCATGGTACACATATTTAGTTATATATATTCACACACACATTTATTATGTATTCAATAAATGCATGTAGACAATTTGTGCATTATCTGTCATTCTCTAGTCATTATTTTAACAAATTAAATTTTCATGGTTAGCTTCATCTTTTACATTTACACCCTCCCGTCCCCAGCAGCCCTCTCCTCCTCCTCCCTCCCGCTGGCAGGAGACACTGGGTTACCTTGACGCTCTCTGAGGCCTTGTGCCCTTGGACCTCCTGCCTCCTTAAGGGTTCTGGGATGCCCGGGACGGCCTTCTCACCGCGGTCAGCCCCGCCATCCTGCTGGTGCTTGTTTCTTTGGATCGAACTGGTGTAGGAGCTGGTTCGGTCCAGTTCCTGGGGCAGGCCAGCCCTGGAGGCCCCCCCGGCTCCTGGAACGCAGACGCCATCTGTCCGCAGTGCCGGTCCACCGAGGAAGGGGCGCGGGCTCAGGAGACGGTCGAGCTGTCCCCTTACCCGCGTGTTCACTCTGCACAGGGCATCTGGAGGCGGAGCGCTCCAGGCCCAGGCGGGGAGAAGGGCGTTGGCGTCACCTTAGGCTGAAGAGAAAGTGTCAGCCGGCGTGGGACGCTGCTTCCCTGTGGGGCAGGGCGCCCTCCCGTCTCCAGGTGGTGACAGTCGTGCGTGCAGACCACTTAACGGCAGGTAGTGCCGCCATTACGACCCCCGTTTTTAAGATGAGGAGGCGGAGATTCAGAGAGTGTAATAATGTACCTAAAGTCAGACAGGTAACAAGAGGCTGAGTTGCAATAGATTTTCCTCAGGAAATTTACTAAATATAGCTTTTTCTATAAAAATATCCATTCCCATTGAGCGATGGCCCTTCAGATTGTGATTCTTCCAAGACGGTTCTGTGGAATCTTACTCAGTTGTCCAGAAAAGCAAGTCGGTTTCCGTGTCCAGCTCCGGTGCCGAGTCTCAGGCCGCAGGCTCAGCCGCTGGGCCGTGGCCGGCTGCGGAATGCCGGTGTGGGGACGGCGGTCCGGTGCTCCTTGGGCCCGTCCCTGATTCCCATCAGGCCTCTGCCGGCAGCCTCGTGAGAACCTACCTGCCTGCTTCCCGGCCGCGAGCGTGGCTCGTTTCCGTAGGCGGCCTGAAGCTGGACTGCCCCTCGCGCGTGTGCGCGCGTGTGCACACAGCTCCTTCTCTGGTTCCTTCTTAGAAGCCGGGGGTGCCCCGGGGTGTTGATAGGAACATACACAGGGTCCAGGTCTGTCCTCGCACACCCTCCTGGTCCTGCGGTCCCTGTTCCCCCTGTGTGCGCCCGCACTCCAGGTGTGGCTGCTCGGAGGACGTTCAGGTGGAGGCCTCAGTGACGAGCAGACACCTCGTCTCTCCGGGTACAGGGCTTGTCAGGACGGCTCCTTTTCCATAGGTGGCACCCTCAGTGTTGACGACGGGACGTCCGCTCCCAAGGGGCCAGGTTAGCCCAGAGAACAGGCCGCTGCGAGGGGCCTGGGTGCAGATGACGTCCAGGTGACGGTGGCACTTGCTGGGCCTGTCGTCACCATATCACCCCAGGCGCTGGAAGGGACCGCAGGTCTCCTGTGCTTAAATGCAGTGTTCAGGAAACGGTGTGACGCCAGGAAGACGGTTTTACCCAAGAAATTGAACTGCTCTGCCCTAGCGCAGCGTCTGTCCCCGGCTTCCCCCGTGTTTATATTTTCTTCCTGCTGTTTTCCTAATGGCTGTATGAATTTTCCTTTTTGAGGGGGATGATTACATTAGGGATATAATTGTCTTCTGTTTATCAACGGAACCTGTTACGTATCTTATTTATCGCTCATCTCATTTCAAAGTGCAATTCAGACAGCTCACCGAAAGATACACATGATACAAAGAGACAGACTAAATAAATGGGGAAATTAGGAGAGAAACTCTAGGTAGAAAAATAAAACGCAAGTGAACGTTACTGTGTAACACTGAATGCCTAAGTCCTTTCTTCCCGATCTTTGCTGATAAGGAAATAGCTACTTAACTCTTGGATCGAACTAGTCCAGGATCTTGATCATTCCAGACCTCGTAGAGGTCAGCTACAGATTTGACTCCGCTTCCTAGTAGCCAAAGCAAAAAGGGAAACGGGATTAGTTTCAAATTTCAAAACATTTAAAGTTGGAAACAGATCAGTCGTTTAGGGGAAGTGGATTTTTCTCTCGTTCTAGGCCCTGTGCAAAGTTTCTCTGTAGTTCAGATAATACAGTGCTAAGCGATGATGTAGACGTTGTTCTAAACAGCGTCTGAGCAACAACGACGAGCAAAACGTCACGCTTCATGTTTCCCTAACGTCTTCGGGCATAGCCTCCCCCCAGCACTCACCAGCTTCTATTGCAGCTATTGGTTTACGATCTGATCCCCTCATTAGATTAAAGAATTTCTGGAAAGCGATCAGGATTTATATGCCCAGCACACAGGAGATACTCAGTTAATATTTTTTGAATTGAAACACTGTTTTACCTATTTATCCAAAAAGGATAAATGTTTATCCATTTATTAACATTTGTGGGGTACTTGCTACCAAAAAGAAGGATCAGCGAGAAGCCCCTCCCCTTAGAAACTCGTGGTTGCCTGAGAAAACGCATCTTAAGAGATGCGGTGGACCCGGCCCGGTAAGTGCGGGACAGAAGAGGCGTGAACGTTCTGTCCTTTGTGAATTGGGATCTACATTCACCTAATTTACATTCTCAGGACAACTCGCTTCTCGCCGTGGAGTTGGGTTTTGGTCCCTTAAGCCAGGAGGGAAGGGAAAAGACAATAACGAGGCGTCTGAGGGGGGACAGGGGCAGCTGTCTCGCAGGTTTGCTTTTGGCCCCGGCCCTTGTCTAGCCGGCCCAACCTCCCGACGCCCAGGTCACCCGGAGCGGGGCGGGGCCTTCTGCAGTGCTCTCCCGCCCCGCCCCGGCAGCGTCCACGCGGAGACGCTCTGGTTCCGTCTCCAAGGGCAGCTCGAGCTGCGGCCACCACGGCCACCCCCGCGGCTGGCTCTCAGAGGAAACGGCGGTCCTGGGCTTCTCTCCAGTTCCGTTCACGTTCGGGTATCCATTACCCCAGGAGTCAGAGAATTTCTCCTTCGCATTTCCCCGCCTCCCGCTTTTTTCCTTCCCTGCATTGAAAACGCGTTTTCCCGGCACTTACTCCTGAGCTAGGCATGATGAGGATGCGAGATCGGACCTCGTCCTCAAATTCCTTACCATCGGGAGGAAAAAAGCGGCGGGCTTCGGGGCCGCTGGCCATCAGGGACCTGGAAGGGGACCTGAGTGTAGCACAGCGCTTAGAAAACGTTTCCGGAAAGACGGATCCGGTCTTCTCTGACTGTACGCATCCCCTTCCAGACGGTAAACGCCTGGAGAGACGCCGCATCCATCCCTCTGCATACCTGGCATAGCGCTCGGTACATAGGTGATGCTCAAAACGTGTTCCTGGAAGGAGGGAACGAACAAAGTTGCAGATCATTCGTCTCAATCTAAAGTGGACTTATTTATATTTTCAGGCTGAACGAAATTATTCCCGATGTGTCTGCTCTGCTGTGCGCACACTAGAGTCGGAACCTCCCGGGGTCCTCCCTGTCGTGTCAGGGGGGCAGACGCCGGGATGGCCTAGCTCTGAGGCCTGCAGGGCCCCGCGGAGCCCCGCGCCTGGGGCGGCTCGCGCTGTGCCGTCGTGCGGGTTCCTCGCATGGCTCCTCGGAGGCTGGGTCTTCTGAGTTATGATCTTGGACGTGGGGGTTGGAAGGGCTCCGTGGAGTGGCGGGGCACGCACAGACAAGTGATGACAGGACGCAGCCAGGCTGCCCCCACCCCGGCCGGGGAGAGTAGCGGCCGCCGTGACGGTCGGTCGGTGGCTCCAGCTCCAGCGCCGTGAAGCGAAGGGGCCCGATTCGGACGTCTTTTTCCCCAAGGGGCCGCCCCCTCCCAGCTGCGCCTCTTCTCCGTCCTCCTCCGTCTCCCAGGCGTAAGCCAACTTCCTGTTTGCTCCTGCTGACTTTCGCCCAGTTTTCCTCCCATAGGATCGATTGCAGCGTTGGAAAAGGACCCTTCCATTCCACGAAAATAAAAACAATCGTAATCACCACACATAAAGCGAGACGCTGAAGTGGGACTTGGGGTCGGGGGTGAAAGCGGTGTGGGCCCTCGGCGGGCGGGGCGGAGGCTCCCTGGCCACGGGCACCTGGCTGTCACTGCGGGGCCAGGCTGGGGAACCTGTCCTTGGGGAGGGAGACGCGACGGCCCCACCGCCTCCCTCAGGGAAGGTCCACCTGGACTCTGGCTCGCAGCCTGCTGTCACCGCAGGGTCGCGCCCTGCCTTGTTTCCCGGGGCTCGGCTTTCCCTGCACAGCCCTCCCCCGTCCTGCTGTCTGGGCCTGCCCCGCATTCGTGGCTTTGCCGAATGGGAGGGTGGGGGTCAGGGTCTCTGAGACAAAGCCTATCATGGTGGACGCTGAGGGGGCTGGCGGGTCCTCGAGGACCAGTCTGTTTAAGTAAGATTCCGAAACTCCGCGGCCAGGTCCGCAGGCCGCTGGGACCAGCTCCTCCGTGGTTAATAAACAAAGTGCACTTTGGGTCATAGTCCCTCCCCTTTTCCATAACGCCCCTGGATCGATAGCGCTCGGAGACCTTGATTTATTCATTCTCTCAAGGTTCGACAAATGGCGTCCTCGCGGGGCACCGAGTCCGAGAGAGGAAGGCCCCTGGGGACTGGGAGGCCTCGCAGCCCGGGGCATGCGGAGCGCGCGGGGCTGTGCTCACGCCTGCGGAGTCGGGCTCTTTTTGTGTGTTGAAAGGACCGTCGTGCGGGTGACCATTCTACACAATCCTGCAGGCGAACCCACGTGCCCGGCCAGATAGGAAAGTGCCCCCAGCACCCCCTCTCTTGCTTAGGGCTGACCCCGGGGGCGTCACTGCCGTAATCTGCTTAGACAGATCGGAGGAGAACAAGGGGTGCTCTCTGCCGCGGAGGCGCGCGTGGGTCTGTCGCGCTGGCCTCGTGGAGCGAGCTGCGCGTGGGCGAGGGCGCTACAGTTACCCGTGTGGCCAGAGCAGGCGGCACACATGGCACTGAGCACGTGATGCGTGTTCCGTGAACGCGCGTGTCCCCCTTCGTTCCCACAACGACACAGCAACACCCATGCCTGCTTTGAGCAGCGTCCTGGGCAGGGGGACAGTCACTGTCCTCCTCCACTGGTGTGAGGGGTGACGAGGCCCGCCTCTCAGCCAGTGCCCTCGTCTGCGACGTGGGTGCTGACGACACCCCGTGCGCTCCAGGGTGGCTGTGGCTCCCCGGCACGACGTGGCCGGGAAACGCTGTGTAAGTTGCTCAGCACGACGCAGCCTCCGGGTTGGTTCTCTCGCCTGCAGTTGGGGCAGCTTATCATCGAAGCGGGGGGCGCGGGGCGGCGGGCGGGAGGGCCATCTGGAACACGCGGAGACTCGGGACTCTCCTCGCGCACAGCGCGGAAGGATGTGCCGTGGGGATGGCGCCGGCGGTCCCGAGAGAGCCGAACAGCGCGGTGACCCTGCGCTGAGGGAACGTGGAAGCAGAGGTCATCTGCCCACGGAGGACAGCGCCCGCGGCCACCGGGGTGTTGTGCGGAGGAGCATGAAGCTGGGGTGCGGGCCTCACACACCCTCACCCCCTGCCCACAGATGGAGGCGCGCGGAGGCCCGCGAAGGGCAGTGGCTGTGGGTGCGGTTTGCGTGTGCCCGATGTGCGCCTCTGTTCCACACCCCGGGGTCCACGGCCCTGCCCGTGGGTGCTCCCCCCACTGCTGCGTCTTCGGTGAGGGGTGCGGTGCCCCTCGCTTTGTGTGGACGTGTTTCCTGGAAAGGGCGTGGACCCAGTTTGGGTGACTGTCCTGTGTTTGGGGACAGTCCCGAGCTTCAGGGAGGGCGCAGTATGGTGGAAGGGACGCTGGGTGGGGGCTCACGGAGGGGTGACTTGCATAAGTCGCCTATTCTCCCGGGCTCAGCCACCGCATCTCTAAGCAGAGGGCCCGCCCCGGGCGGCGCGGCGCCCTCTGCAGGCGAAGGCCCCCTGCACGTGGGCGTCTGGTCCGTTGTACCGCGGTGCTTTTCCTGAGCAGGGACGTCGCGCTCACTTGGCCCAGTGTGGGTGTCTGCTCCCCCCACAGGGACCCACGTCCCTTGGGAAGGTGAGTGCGTGGGCCTCCCCTCCGCCGTTTACCTGCCTGTGTTCCTCACACAGGTGTTTGGTGAGGCTGAGGCGCAGACACAGAGCCTCCGTTCGCAGCCGTGGGGCGCTCTGGGGTGCACAGCCTCCCACGTGCCACACTGGGGGTGTCCCGGGATTGGGGGGAGAGAGAGGACTGCCAGCCCCTCCCGTCCCCAGCCTCGCCAGCCCTGGGGCATGACTGTCCCACCCCGTCCTTTCGCCTCTGTGCCTGGGACTGGAGAGGGCCCAGGGCTTGCTGCTCGGCCTGCCGCCTCTGCTCTCTCTGAGCCTGGATAAGCCTGAATTGGGGGGATTGAAATCCAGAGTCTGAGGCAAAGGTCAAAGGGCAGAGGGCAGACCCAGAGTGAATCATGAGAACTGAGCCGGGTGCCACCGCTGGCAGCTGGAAAGCCTCACTCACGTCCAGATGTGGCCGGAGAGGCCCAGGGACGCAGAGGCCGTCTGCAGAGCACGGAGCAGGGTGGGCGGGGTGGAGGTGGCTTCGGTGAGCACGGAGGGTGCAGCCGGCGTCCCGCGGTTCCAGCTCTGTGTCACGGTGCTTTGAAAAAGCACAGCCCAGGGGAGGGGAGGGTCACCCCGCGAAGGTGCCAGCCCGTGCACGCCCGCGCACACAGCACCGCGGGCAGGAGGAGAGCGCGGGCCGGACGCCGGGCTCTGTGCGGCGTGGGATGCGGGCCGGTTGCGCACACGCGTTTCCTCGTGGGCCTCGGAGCCCCGCAGGTTCCACCCGCCTCTTCCCGTCCCTGGCGCCTTTTCCCTCCCCCGTCTTTCTGCGAGTCCGCGGTGGCTTTATTAGGAATTCCCTCTGGTTTAAGGGAAAAAATAGAGAGAGAAGGAGCTGGGCTGGAGGGGAAGAAACAAAACCAGCTCCCGCGGGCAGCCTCGGCCTGCCCAGCACCCGGCCAGCGCCAGGCCAGCGCCAGGCCGGCTGTTTCCCTAAGACTCCCCCCAACCCGCCCTCCTCTTTCTGAGGGGCCCGCGGGGCCCGTTTCCACCCTGCTCACCCCCTTTCCCCCTTTCTGTTGTTTGAAGAGATTCTTTCTCTCTCTCTCTCTCTCTCTCTCTCTCTCTCTCTCTCGCTCTCTCTCTCTCTCGCTTTAGCCGGAGAGCAGGATCTCTCCTTGCTGGCCTCTCCTCTCCCCCATCCCCTCCCCGACGAGGAGTTCATCCAAAGTTCGCATCCAGACTCGAACAAAGTGGCGCAGACCTTTTCCTGACTCCTCACCCTTTGTCCCCATCACTCAGTGACAGACAGGAATCAAATGCTGAGGGCCCAGCCTGGAGAGGGGCCATGGGGGAGGGGCAGAGAAGCGTTCCTGTAACCCACTGGGCCCTGAACAAGGGGGAGAGGAGGAGGGAGGAGGGGCAGGGGAGGGAGGAGGGAGGAGAGCGGGGGACGGAAGAGGACTGAGGACCCGAGGGAGGAGAAGGGAAAGGGAGGGAGGAGAGGGAGGGAGGGGAAGGGGAGGGGGGAGGGGACTGATGGTCCAGAGGGGACTTCTGAGCCCCCCCAGGCATGCACTGAGCGTGCCCAGTTGTCCCCAGACGCTGCACCTGGCTTCTGCCGAGCGGCAGAGAGGGCGGGTGGTCAGCAGAGCCTGAGCTGTTGGGGGCCAGAGCCCGGAAAGTGCCACGGGTGGTGGTGCCCCTCCCTGCGGCGGGAACGGGCGCCCTCACCCACTTCGAGGCAGCAGGCTCCTTGGGGGGAGGGCTAGCCTTTTGTTGGAGGGTCGCCCTTCTCCGGACACCAGGGGACCACAGAGCAAATTGCTCCTCCTGAGTGCTAAGTGGTCCCAGGTGCGCCAGAAGAGCCCATTTACCTCCCAGGTGAGTCGTTTATTGCCGGCCAGGAGAATGTTGGCTGCGGTGCAGGCTCGTCCATCCTCCCGCATCCCCGAGTGGCATTTCAGGTGGAGGCGATGTTATCCACCTGTGGCCACGGGACGGGAGCTGACAGATGCCTCTGATGCCTGCTCCCCGGATCCAGTTGCTGCGGTGGCAGGGGACGTGACTCTCCAAGGTCTCGTAGCCAGAGCCACGTGAGGTCGAGGCGGAGAACAGCCCGTCACCTCTTGCATGCAGCCTCACGCAGAAAGGCTGTGGTTCTTGAGAAGTACCTGTGCCAGCTCCCGTGAGGACGAGTCCACGATTGTCCCGGCGCCCTTGGGGGCCGCCCTCTGTGTCCCCAGGGGCTGGGGCTCCGGGCTGGCCGCTCACTTCTGCTGCTGGCTTCGCACTCCCCTGCTGCAGTTCCCGGTTGCCATCACCGCCCCGTGTCGCAGAGGTAGATCAGTACCCCGGGTCCAGGCACCCAGCGCTGGGGGAGTGGAGAGCAGGCCTCGGTGGGCGAGGAGGAGGTTCTAGTGCCAGCTGCCTTTTTGGTGAGAATGGGGAGGGCGACAGTGTGAAATCTTGGTGGGCTTCGTGGCCAGAAGACCCGGGGCCCTTCCCTCCCCCAGTCATCAAATCCCTGGTGCCTCCGTGACTCGCGAGAGAGGGTGCTTTCACGCCCCTAGCCGGGCGGACCGCGCCTCAGCAGTCAGGGCGCTTGGCTTCCGTTTCTCCTTCCGCCTGTGCACTCGTTCCGGAAACTGGAAACCGAGAGCAAGAGCGCTCTGCGGGGAGGTCGGGACTCGGTGACATTCAGAAGAGCCTCGGCTGTGTGACCACACTGCTGACATTCACCGAGGTCTCCGGGGCCACTCAGCGTGCAGAGCGTCTGTCTGCACGTGCTCGTTTGTTACCTGATTTACCTTCACAACCGTCGATGGACACGGCTGTCGTTTGCTAGGAAACCGAGGCGAGGGCGACCCGCCCACGCCGCGTGCAGTGGCCCCGCGTGCAGTGGCGCGTGCAGT